AAATTTTCTTGTCATGATTTCAGATGTCAAGTGATAAAAACTTATTTTAAAATGTTCTTGAATAAATAAGGACTGAGAAAAAAACTGAAAGGGAAATATGTTTGTTTGGGTGAGTTGCTAAGCAATCCCACACATGCCAGAGACTCCTTTTGGATTTCCTTCTGAAGGTGGAATCTGTGGGACCAATGGTACTTTGGCTTGCGTCGGCTTCATTGGTTCACACTGGAAAATTAAAGCAAAACAGGAAACAAACAAGCAATTCTCATAGTACTGAAGTCAGAGGTGTGGAGAAAACTAAGTATTAAATTAAGCTAGACTATTTTGAAAGTTGCCTTTCAAATGGCTTCTGAGTGTCCTCAGTGGCACTAACATTAATAGGTGAGGTTTTGTAAGTGTGTCCCCAGAAGAATCAACCACACAGATGAAATAAAACCAAATTGCATTCAGGCTATTTTATCTATTCCACACAGTATTTCAGGTCCTATAGATGCCCAAAATTTGTAATATGGCAATAGAACGTAGCAACCAGATGAAGATAAATATGAGTTGTGCATCTCATTTAATTTAATAAGGGATAACTTCTTAGAAAAACAGAGTTTTACAATGGGTACTAAAGGAAGAAATTCTGTGAGAAAAGAAGTTTACAACCTCAAGGCCTGCTTGAGCAAAAGCTAGGGAGCTCTGAAGGGGCAAAACATGTCAAAGTAAAAGCAGAAAAAGAATATTAGTAAGCCAGAAAGAATCAATAAATATTTGAGCAGGAAATATATTCAACAGCTGGGGAAGGGTTTAGAAAGACTAAGATAGAAATTAGTACTGAAATAGCTGGAATGTAAGATTTAAAGATGCTATGGATCAAATACTATCCAAGTTACATTACACAAATATTGCTGTACATTTTAAATAATCACATTTTTTTCAATGATTTGTGTTTCAAGTTTCAAGTAAACATACATCTAAGTTTGAATTATGTATATGTGGACACATTTTCCATCAATCTGATCAATCCATCAATCTTTAGAGGACAGGGGTATCATCTTAGAATATTTCAGATTGTGTTTTAAATAGCTGACACTGTAAAAGGGGATGTATGTATGTTATTATTATTCATTACAGAATAAAGTCTGTACTCCTTATCATGTGTCTAAGGCTTCTCATGATTCAGCTTGCCTACCTGCCCCTCCCACACCAGCCTGAGTAGTTTCTCCTCTCATTCCTCCCAAGTCGAAAATCTTCACTACTAACCTGATACTAAATTATATTCTCTGGTCTATTGTTATTTAGATTCAGTGTGTGTATCTCTCCAATGAGATTATAGCTCCCTGAAGAATCTGCCCAAATAGTATTTTGTTTCATATTTTCTAACTAAAATAATAATGCTACTTATTATGTATAGTTAGCACAGAATTTGAACCTACAAATATTCTCCTCCTTATGTCTCTGTACTCTAGGCCTGCTAGCAGAAAATATTAATAGGAAGAGCAAACAAAAAATGAATAGGCAGAAACTTACTGTCTTCTAAACCTTGAACTCTGGAAAACCAAAATATCCTTGGGGGACAAATATCACAAAACTGAAAGCATTTTGAGCTGGGAATATGATAGCTTCATGTGGGCATAAGCTATTCCAAGGGACCTTGGAGCCCAGAGGAGAAATGGTGGTCTGCAAAAGTTAAAAAGAAATCTACATGAAGAATTAGGAACTCCCTGTCAGAGTCAGCAGTCTAGCTATGTGGCTTAAATGATTGTATCTGACTAGATTCATTCATTCCCCCAACCAATCTGCAGGGAATTCAAGCTCTTTAAGGGTAGGGCTTTTCACTGGTGTCATTGCTTGCACTTTCTCCTGGTGTTGTGCCTGGCACCTAGCAGGTACTCACTGAGTACCTGTTATGGAATCCTCTGACCTGGAAATGGAGTGGTCATCCTCAAGAAGTTCACTCTCTGGTTAGGACAAAGATTTCCAAATATGCAATTATCACAGATGAAAATATTTATCATGAACAAGCTATAAGAGTGCATAGTGCTTACACTTGAGCATTTACCCTGTGCCAGGCGGTGATCCACATGCCCTTACATGTATAAATTCACCTAATCTTCACAACAACCTATGAGGTGAGTATTATTATTTTCATATTCACAGACACAATAAGGTTAAGCCACCTGCCCAAGGTCACAGCTAGGACGCAGCAGAGCAGGAAGTGAAGCAGGGTTCATAATTAGCACACTGTATGTAGGCACAAAGAGTTAGTCAGATTTAAGGACCACTGATGTTTCTTCTAGACCTGGATTGCAGATGATGGTACCACTGGAGATAACAAAGCAGCAGAAACACCAGGGAAATGTCTCATGAAACTCTATCCACTTGGAACATATCAGGACTTCTCAAATGTAGGGTGCTCCAGAATTCTTCAAGAACATACAGAATTTTAGGCCTGAAATTCTGGAGCTTCTGAATCAATAAGGTTGCAGTGGGGACGCAGAATCTGTATTTTTAACAAAGCATCACACCAATGTCTATAATCATATTTTAAAAAAATACTATACTAGACCTATTCAGACATGATTTAGCAGTTCAACAAGACCTATTCTACAGTAGAACACTTTGGTTAAGATACTGCACTCTTTTTTCAGGCCTGGCTCTCCTCTGGCCAGGTGTCTGTTGGGATTTCTTTGACTACTTGATCTGATAATGCTCTGCTGGGGGCACTGACACCTTTAGAAGCTCCTCAGATGACAGGCATCACAGCCCTTACCCAAGACAATTATTTCTGGTTTATTTATCTATCTTCTCTTGATGTGGCTCAGATGGTAAAGAATCTGCCTGCAGTGCAGGAGACCCGGGTTCAATGCCTAGGTCAGGAAAGATTCCCTGGAGAGGGTAATGGCTACCCACTCCAGTATTCTTGCCTGAATAATTCCATGGACAGAGGATCCTGGTGGGCTACAGTCCATGAGGTCACAAAGAGTCGGACATAATTAAGTGACTAACACACTTTTCTTGAGGGCAGGGGCTGTGTCATACTCTGCTCTACATGCTAGCTCCTAATTCAGCAAGAAATGTCTTCTAAAGGAATTGATGGGTGGCATGAGCCAGGGCAGTGATTCACATCCACCAGCCCTGCCCTTGAGAACATCATAGTTAAGTAAAGGATACAGATACCTGCAGATAAACTGTAGGATTAAATGATAAAATGGCTGTGATTACCTAAATCCAAGTAGTATTTGATGAGGGCACAGGGAACCAGCAAAAGGTGCTGCATAGGTGGCTGTATAGGGTGGGAAACCATGCTAGAAGAGCAGATAGGGAGCTTTAATGGGCTGAATTGTGTCCCCCTCAGAAATCCCTATGTTGAAGTCAAACACCCTCCTTTCCCCCACCAGAGCGCCTCAGAATGTGACTGTATTGGAAACCAGGTCTTTTAAAAAGGTAATTAAGTAAAAAATGAGATCATTAGAATGGGCCCTCATCCAGGAAATCTGACTGGTGTCCTCATAAGAAGAGGAAATTAGGACAGAGATGCACACAGAGGTAAGGGCATGTGAAGACTCAGGGAGAAGACAGCCAAGGAGAGAGGCCTCAGAAGAAACCAGCCTTGTCAGCACCCTGATCTGAGACTTCTAACCTCTAGAATTGTGAGAAAATAAATGTCTGCTGTCTGAGACACCCAGTCTGTGGTACTTTGTTATGACAGCCCTAGCAAAAAATATAGGAGCAGATTGTGAAAATTTACTAAGTCAAACTACAGAAATTAAACGCTATCCTGTAAGCTGTCAGAAGCCTCGACAGAGGTCTAAGCATCAAGGTGACATGAATAGGTTTGCTTCCAGAACATGATTTGGAGACAGTGGATATCAGGAAGTGGAGAAGGAAGGTGGAGTTGGCAGATCCATTGCTCCAATGAAGAATAAAACAAGTTCTAAGGGCCCTGGACAAAAATCATTGACAATGCGAATGGGTATCAGAGGTCCTATCAGAGAGATATTTGTGGGGCATAAGTAAGACAGTTTGGGGAAAATGAAGTGTAGGAGAAGAGTAGGATGAGGATAACATGAAGAAGTGTAGTTTGGGGAGTTGAGGGATGCCTCAGATCGCAACCGGTGATACAGAAGGTGAAGCAGGAGTAAAGAAGAGGCGAAAAGATAATAAATGTCGTTTGGGATGAACGAAGTTTGAGACAGCTGCAGAGCGTCGAGCTGGATGTGTAGGATTCCGCCAGTCACGGGTGGTGGGGTGGTGGGAAGGGGTGGAGGGCCTCACGCGGAGTACCAGCGATTCAGGAGCCCCAAGACCATATCCTTGGGGTCCCCACAATGTGCGGAGAGAGAAGCCAACCAAAGAGCCCATCCAAAAAGCAGCAGAATCGGGGCGAGGAGGGCCGCCCTCCAAAGGCCACGGGAGTCAGCGCTAGGAGTTTGTCGGTATTGGTAGTTTTCAAACGAAGTAAAGATTTTGCCCCTGCTGCAAACATCAGCTCAGGCTGGATCGCGTTTTTTCTCACTATCCCATAAAGTGGTTTACCTCTCTCCCGCACTTTGGTCAATGAGGTAGAAGTGGCTGGCGGGTAACGGAGACCCAAGCATTATCTCAAGTCACGCAGGCAGTGACAGCTCCTGAAGCCCTTTGCCTGCGGGCAGGCAAGCGGGCGGGTCAGCGACTCCCACCCCGCCCGCGCCCTTCCACCCGAAAGGAATGTGGGCGCCCGCGCCCGGGCTCCGGCTGCACTTGGAACTCCGGCCCGGACGCCGCTCCCGGAGCGCGCCGGCAGCGGGGGCGGCTTCCTCGCGCCTCCCCCTGCAGCGCGCCGCGGCCGCTGGGCGAGGCGAGGCGAGGCGAGGGGGAGGCGGGCCGAGGGGGCGGGAGAGGGACGCGGGACTGCGGGGAGGTCGGGGGCGGGGAGCAGGAGGCGGCGGGCCGGGGGAAGAAAGGAACATGGCTCCTGCGGCAGGCGGCGCCGAGGACGGCGCGCGGGGAGGGCGCCCCGGGCACCAGTGACCGTGATGGTGAACTCGAGCCGCGTGCAGCCGCAGCAGCCCGGGGACGCCAAGCGGTCGCCGGCCCCTCGAGCGCCGGGCCCCGGGCGGCTGATGGCGGGCGGCGCGACGGCCGGCGCCGGCCTCGCTGCCCCGGGCGGCCTCCGCGAGCAGAGGGGCCTGGAGATCGAGATGGAGCGCATCCGGCAGGCGGCCGCGCGGGACCCCCCGGCCGGAGCCTCGGCCTCCCCCTCTCCTCCGCTCTCGTCGTGCTCGCGGCAGGCGTGGAGCCGCGACAACCCGGGCTTCGAGGCCGAGGAGGAAGAGGAGGAAGAGGAGGTGGAGGGAGAAGAAGGGGGAATGGTGGTGGAGATGGACGTCGAGTGGCGCCCCGGCAGCAGGAGGTCGGCCTCCTCCGCGGCCGTGAGCTCCGCGGGGGCCCGAGGCCGGGGGCTGGGGGGCTACCACGGTGCGGGCCACCCGGGCGGGAGGCGGCGTCAGCGAGAGGACCAGGGCCCGCCGAGTCCCAGCCCCACCGGCGGCGGGGACCCGCTGCATCGCCACCACCCCCTGGACGGGCAGCATCCCCGAGTGGCCTGGGCCGAGAGACTCGTTCGCGGGCTGCGAGGTAAGAGCGCGACCCTCAGCGGCTGATGCACAGACCAGAACTGCGGGCGCTGTGGGAGCCATCCCCCGGAGGGCAGCTCTCCCCGGCTCCAGCTCGCAACCCCTTGGCGTCCCCGCCTCCCTTGGAAGCGCCTTCCCCACCTCTGCGAATTCTGGTCTATTTCCGGTACCTAGCGCCGAATTCCACGGCGCCCTTGTTGGTGCAAATGTATTGGATACCTCCTTCTGAAAGAAAATTTGTCAGCTTATGTTTGCCTTTGGAAATAAGTTGAAAGTCGTATTAGAGTGAAGAGGGTACATCTGAAGATTTTTATCTTGTAGGGGGAAAAATATTCTAAGACTGCTAATGGTGGTTGCAACTGCATATTTGCTAATTTCACGAAATAAAAACGAAAACTCTGTGCTAGCACCCATGGTCCTCCACTGGCCTGGATGCCCTGTTGCCCCTTATCCCGTTCTGGAAAGGGTAAGCAACGCAGTGTCCCAGTTATGGGAGGGGTGTCATTGTGTAGCCACTGATGTTGTTTTGGTGATGTCTGTGGTGGTTTAGGGGAGAGGGAGCTGTTGAGAACACTACGAATAGAATAAAATGCTTAGGAAAACAGTTATTTGGCCGTTTCTAATTCTAGGCATTTTTTTCCCCTAAACAGTTGCAAAGTAAATGTTAACATTGTTTGAAAAACTTGAAAGTATGTTTTTTAAATAACTAAATTAATGTTCTTTGACATTCCAATGAAACAGTGAAGTCATCAGATACCAGCTGTGTGGAAATATGTCAGAGTTCGGTGCACCCAGCTCTCCAAAAAGGCAGAAAAGGAATTTTCAAAAATTGCCAGTGCCTTTTAAGAGGACACACATTTTCCAGGAGCAGATGGGATCCTGTTTTTGCAAAGTTTTGTCAGAGGCATCCTTGGAAAAGAGTTGCATTTGATCTTACCATCCAAATGATTTTAATCTCTGCTTTTAAGAGTTTTTTCCATTCTCAGTCTTTTGAAATTCCCCCTTCCCTTCCGTTCCTGTCAGTTTTGAAAATGTTGCACAAAAAACTATCCAGGTATTTTCATAGCAACATGATTAACACCAAGTCAGGCTTATACCCGAATCCCAGTTCTACCACATGTTGACTGAATAACCTTTAGCAAACTGCTTAATCGCTCTGATCTCCGATTATTGAATTTTGTTGTAAAAAAAGAGATAATCATAATACTTAGCTCTTAACATGGGAGAATTAAATGAGATGAGACATAAAATATGTAGCAATGTTCTTGTGATTGCTTCACAAGTAGAGATTAAATCGTGGATTCTAAAAGTGTACCTTTTGGTGCTCTTACATAGTGATTGTACTAGTTTAATTGTTTCAGAGCATGGTGGGGACCAAAAGATCCTTTTCAGTCACCTGTGTGAGAAGATTAGTAAAAAAAACTCATTAATACTTTTTTAAGGTTCCAAATTGTATTCAAAGTTTATTTTGTTGAATATTTTTGAACTATATATTTGAATATTTTTGAACTATATATTGAATATTTTTGAACTATATTCAAAGTTTATAGCACTTTGTACTAATTGTGCTTTTTAAAATCTTCACTGAAATGAGAGGTTTCTTATAAGTTAATAAGTAATGGAAAGTCATGATTCTTTTAACTCAGCATAAGTATTTAATAACACATTTCATATTATCTGAAAAAGCTCAATAATTGAATATAATTAAGTGAAATATGTGAGTGCATTTGTAAGTTTATTTCTTTTAGAGAAAAGTTTCAGAAAATTTACAGTGAATAAAGTAATAGTAAAATTTCTGGTCCAACCTTATCAGTGGTTGATAAGATCTCACCTTAATCAGTTAGGAGAGTAGAATCAAGAGAATCTTTTTTTATAGAAAATTTTAGAAATAAATTTTAATTCTTTGTGAAGGAATATAATTGATATCCTTGTCACTTATTAAATAACCTTTGTTAGATAATCAGTAGTACCTCCTGTGAAGACAGACTGTTTTAGTTGCCACAGAAAAAAAAAAAAGAACTAAAATAACACATCACCATTTACCTATGGGCAGAAACCCAGAAATGTGAAATGAGTAACCGTAAATGAGTTGTGATATGTTTTTCCCTCATGGGATATTGTTGTTGTTGTTTAGTTGCTAAGTCATGTCTGACTCTCGTGACCCCGTGGACTAGCCTGCCAGGCTTCTCTGTCCGTGGGATTTCCCAGGCAAAAATACTGGAGTGGGTTGTCATTTCCTTCTCCAGGGGATCTTCCCGACCCAGGGATCAAACCTGAGTCTCCTGCATTGGCAGGCAGATTCTTTACCACTGAGCTATCAGAGATCAAACCCCCGTCTTGGGATACAATGACAGAAATCTTTAGTGCGTTATATAAGTAGTGCCCGGAGTCAGAAGAGAGAGAGTGACTTGGAATTTCTAAAGATAGGAGCCAAACTCAAGTTTGGTGTTTTCAGGCGCTTCCCTGGAGGTCTCACATCAGACTTCTAGCCTTAGTTTGTCATTTATAAAATGGAAGAGTTGAACCTAATCTTCAAGGTCCCTTCTAGCTTCAGCATGCTGTTTAATGACATGAATCTGAGTTGGAAAACAAATGATCATTTCTCCTTGGACACTGAATAGATCTGTTCTCTTAGCAGGAGTAAGATGGCAAAGAAGAAGTTTGAGGCCTGATTGTGGAAAGCATTGTGTCTAACCAAGGAATTAAGAAGTTACCTCTAAATATTAGGAAGCAGTTGAAAGTTTTTGAGCAGGAGCAGAACATGCCGAAAGGGAATATGAATCAGGCCTCGTGTGTGCAGGAGAGCTTACAGAGGGAGGTAGGGAGGCAGGAGGACCAGGTAGGGGGCAGCCAGTGAAGGGGAGATTGATGACCTGGACCAGAGGCCAAAAAAAGAAGGCTAAAAGATTGAAAGACTTCTCCAAGCTTAAAAACATCTCCAACCCAATGATCTTGTTTACTTTTTTATTAGCAAACACTTTTTAATGCAAAGATAAAATTTGAGACTCTATATGAGTTATCAGATTTTCTGAATTTCCAAAGTTGAATATGTTTTATGGATGTATCAGTTTATTAAAGTCATTTTCTATTTACTGTTTCAGACAAATGTCATCACTGTCCATGTCCAGAACTTTTTCATCATCCCAAACAAGTCTGCCCATTAAATACTAACTCCCAGTACCCCCCCACCCCGTTCCTTGCCCTGCAGCCTCTCTGTCTTGATGAATTTTCCTGTTCTAGGTACCTCATATTAGTGGAATCATACAGTACTTTCACATCTGGCTTATTTCACTTAGCATAATGTTTTTAACGTTTACATATGCTGTAGCATGTATCTGAACTTCATTTGTTTTGATAACTGAATAGTATCCCCTTGTATGTATACACTACATTTTGTTTATCCGTTCATCAGTTGATGAACATTTGGGTTGTTTCTACCTTTTGGCTATTATGACTTTCCCTTTATTTTTAATCCAACCCTCACTCCATAATTTCTTCCTTTTTACCTTTTTATTTGCACTATAATTGTGAACAAATGAGACTTTGTGTTTTCATTGTGAAGGGATTTTGTTTGAGGGAGGGCTGTTACTCTGTGGGGTATGATAAGACTCTGCTAGTAACAGAATTTGTGCAGGCAACATTTATGGAGCATCTCTTTTGTGGTAGGTACTAGGGATACAGAGATGAATGATATAAGATCCCAACTCCCAAGGAGTTTAGAGTTTAGTAGGGGGATCACAGGTGTAAGTAAATAATTGCAGTGCCAGGTCCCAGATATGGCAGGTACCCAAAGAAGAGAGGACCAGTTCTATCTGGGGAGGTTAGAAGTAAAACTTGAGTTACATTTTGAAGAATTCAGTGGGGGGGAGTTGGGAAGGGAAGAATAGCAGAAGTAAGACCAAGATGGCCTCACTGGTATTAATACTTTTTCCTATAGACAGAGACAGTGAGGGCTTCAAGCAGGGGGCTGATACAGTCACATGCCAACCTGAAGATGATTCTAGCAAGGATGTAGAGAATGGGGTGTGATGGAGAACAGGTTAAGAAAAGGTGACAAAGGCTGCAGCCAAGGATTGTGAGCTGGGATAGAAGAAAGCGAGATTAAAGAGAGGCAGAAACCATTAGAATTGTGGACCAGCCCCGTGTGATTGTTATGAAAAGGGCCTATTCTAGAATGAAACCCGTGTTTCTGACTTGGTACCGTTAACCCACCTATTTAGCCACAGGGAAAACAGTTTTCTAGACAAAGGAAAAAAGAGAGACATCTCGGTTTGGGGCATGTGAGTATGAGTTGTCTGTGGAATATGCGTGTAATCTGTGACACATTCCTGTCTTCACCTCAGGAGGAGGCTGCCTAAGAATTGGAGACTCAAGTCAGTATCATTTAAAGTAGCAACTGACTGTTCTATAGAAAATGGACCAATAATAAAAAGTCACTTCCCTTTCTGAAGGTCTCCAAGAAATTCAAATGACTATTAGGAAGGATTGTATTCATCTTTCTAGCAAGGTCCACATGTGTCCAAGCACAAAAATGGGATTCTTTTATGACATGAATCCAATGAGAATTCGGTCAGACTATTCACAGTGACTTCAAAGCCTATATGGATTTGGGTCTTCACACCAACTTAGCGTCAGAAGTAGGATGTCTCACAAATTTGAACCTATTTCTGAAACCATAAATGGGCCTCTTCCAACCACTCTAAATCCTGTACATATATAAAATTTCTTATTCCCAGAGCAACCACAGAGAAGTACTCTTATCCCATTTCCAAATGAGGAAGTGAAGGCTCATGGTTTGAGGTAAGGTCTCATAGCTCCTAAGGGCTGATGCTTCATTTAAACACAGCTCAGACTCCAGACGGACAAGGCACGGGCAACCCACTCCAGTACTCTTGCCTAGAAAATCCCAGGGACGGAGGAGCCTGGTGGGCTGCCGTCTATGGGGTCACACAATCGAACACGGCTGATGCGACTTAGCAGCAGCAGCAGACTCCAGACCCCCACCACACCTTGTCATCATCAAGGTGTCCTGAGGGGTTAATGCATTTCAGATGAGACAGGGTTAATGTGAGGCAAAAGATCCACACTGAATCTTTTTACCATAGAACTGAGAGATGTTATATTAACAAGATGAGATGCTATGATCACTGCAATTAGTTTCAAAATAATTGAGGAGGACTTCCTTGGCAGTCCAGTGGTTAAGGCTCAGTGCTTACAATGAAAGGGGCGTGGGTTCAATCCTTAGTCGGGGAACTAAGAGCCCACATGCCCTGTGGCATGACCAAAACATACAAAGAAACAAAAAAAAATTGAGGAGTTGGTGAGGGTTTTGAATAATCAAGGTTAGTGTGGAGTTGATGGTAATTGTTAAAGCTGGGTGAGGAATACCTGAGAGTCCATTATATTGTTCTCTCTGTGATATTTTTTATAAATTGCAAAATAAAAAGGGCTTAGAAGCATTTGGGCTTCCCTGATAGCTCAGTTGATAAAGAATACGCCTGCAATGCAGGAGACCCCGGTTCGATTCCTGGGTCAGGAAGATCCTCTGGAGAAGGGATAGGCTACCCTCTCCAGTATTCTTGGGCTTCCCTTGTGGCTCAGCTCGTAAAGAATCCACCTGTAATGCAGGAGACCTGGGTTTGACCCCTGGTTTAGGAAGATCCCCTGGAAAAGGGAAAGGCTACCCACTCCAGTATTCTGACCTGGAGAATTCCATGGACTGTACAGTCCATGGGGTTGCAAAGAGTCGGATATGACTGAGCGACTTTCACTTAGAAGCATTTGGAGAAAAGAGTTGCAAAATGGCATTTTTTTCAAAATCTTTTTGTTGGCTATGCCACACAGCCTTTGGGATCTTAGTTCTCCAACCAGGGATCAAACCCATGACCCTTGCATTGGAAGCCTGTAGTTTTTTTTGTTTTGTTTTGTTTTTTAAGATTTTTTGGTAGACCTTTTTTTTTTTACATCTTTTATTGAATTTGTTACAATATTGCTTCTGTTTTATGTTTTTTGACTGCAAGGCAGGTGGGATCCTAGCTCCCCGACCAGGAATCAAACCTACATCCCCTGCATTAGAAGACAAAGTCCTAACCACTGGACCACCAGGGAAGCCCCATCAAAGTCAGTTACGTTGGAGACATTTTTGGTGTTTTGGATTATCCATCTCAGAATTCCCCCATATGCATATTAATAAGGAACACTATTTAGGTAATGTGCTCTGACTTTGGGCTCTGGCATTGACTAAGCACCTTCTTACACAGGAAGGAAGTTGCATATTGTCCCATGTCCTCTTAGGTCATATTTTGCTAACAGATGGAGACACGTTATCTATAGAACGTGAGTGCCTTCAGGCACTCCCTCCGCAGCTGAGACAATGGTGGGAAAAGACAAGAGTTACTTTTGAAGAATGCTGCCATTTTGGACTTGAACTCTACCCTTAACCATTCCTATTGTATCATTCCTGCTAAACACGGAAAGTAGTTGGCTGTAGGACAGCTATTTTTTCCATTTGTAGTTGTAGCCATTTCTCACCCATCAAGATGTGAGGGGGTCCCTATATCCGAAGACTGACCCTACACATACACCCAGTGGGGAAACTAAAGTTTTTATAGCAATACATATTTGAGGAGGTAGCTAGAGTAATTTAGAAAAAGCAAATGCATAGAAATACACTTTTATAGAATATAAATAAAAGGGCTTGTTTCTTTTTTTTTTGAAATGTTTCCTTCAAGGGCTAGAATTAAATTACCATCGACTATTGCAAATTTAGCTTAAAGAAAATTTGATAGGAGTTTGGTTTTTCTATTTATAGGTCAAGCAAAACCATTTGTAAATATTAAGAACTATGACTTTTCCTTAGTGCATAATTGTTTATAAACCATGGGAAAGAGTGAAATCAGTGACCAAGTGAAGCAAGGCAGCCGTCTCTCCTGATGGTCAAGGGACTAGCAATTTCCGCTTATGTGTATATTTTAGTCCTGGCCTCCAAAAGAAATACACCCAAAGAAATGGTGTGGTCGTGTCCAGGGCTACTGAGCCTAATATTTGGCTGCCTCTGTGTTATTCTGAGTTGTAATTTTCCATGTCATCTAAATTTGTAATAATTCTTTAATATGATAGAGCTTCAGTGAACAAACATTCTACTTGCTGCATTTCTTCTGAGTGAGTAATTCCCTGACAACTACCAGATCTTGGCAGAAGCAAACCTTGTCATAAGTTATGCTCCACTTTCGGCGTGGTGAAACCTGGGACGCGTAACACAGTGTCTTTGAAGGCAGATGCTGATTTTTCCAAAAGAAGTTTGAGAGAGAAAAAGAGAAGGAAATGAAATACCCCAATTTAGGAGTAGAACTAATGTATGATTATAAGACTTAAAAAGTACATAAACACTAGCGATGAAGTCACTTCTTCCAAGTGCAAGACCATATACCATTTCCCCCCGTTCTCTGTGGCTTGATTGGGGCGTCAGTGGCTGTGTGAGTTTCCATGAGGAAGGGGTTAAAGTCTGTATACTCAAGTGTGAGGCAATTTGCCATTAACAGCCGAGTTAATCTAACAAAAAGGATTGAGAGGTTTGTCCTTTTTGGAAAATGCTAAGGCTCTTCCAAGTAACCAGTAATGTGACTTGACCACACTGTTCACTAGCGGGGGTTTGGACGGCCACCATGTCTGTCTGCTGGCCGCGTCCAAAACTGCGGGATCGCACTCCAGCCGGCTCACCAAGGCTTATGTCATCTTTGCTCAGCCGGCCCAACACTTTTTCCATCTGCTAAAATGTGGAGCACGGTTGCTGATTTTACTCTTTCTCCAAAGACAGAGAGAAGTCGGATGAGTTGTTGCTTTTAATTTAAAAATCATATGCTACTTGAAATTTTAAAAATCTGTTCAACTAAGCATGTTTAGTGTAATCAGTCAGCATTGAATTTCTTAAAAGGCAAAAATGGGTACAGAGCAGAGATTTTACACCAGTGTGTTAGATTGATTGATATTTGATATTGATAGATGTTTCCTCAATGAAGTGATGCTCCAACCAGGACTTCTTTTCATCAGAGGTGACCTAAAATGTATCATTTACAATGTAGTTACTTAAGAGGATAATTAATTTAGTAGTACGATAATTCCTCCTGCATATAGGAAGAGCTGATATGTATGCACAATTATTTAACCTCCTCTCATAGACTGCCCAAATTTCCTCTTCTCTTTCTAATTTTTTACTAAGATATTTTCTAATGATGTTGGGAGCTTAGACAGTGATCAGATTGTTGTCTTGTGTTTTGCACATCTTGTGGGGATGAGACAGTGGAGACTGATGTGTTCCCAAATTAAAGGTACTTCTACTAAAACCATTTCTCAGTTGTTTTTAGAGCATGCTTAAAAAAAAAAAAAAAACAGGAGAACCTCCCTTAAAGTACACTATTTTTTATGTGTTTTTTTCTTTTGCCATTCATGAGATTTTTGAAAAATACAATGACATCTTTTGTTATTATTTTAAAGGTCTCTGGGGAACAAGACTCATGGAGGAAAGCAGCACTGACCGAGAGAAATACCTTAAAAGTGTTTTACGGGAACTGGCCACATACCTCCTTTTTCTCATAGTCTTGTGCATCTGTAAGTAGAACGTTTCCTTCCAATAGAGGAACACTTTTCAAAATATTTGACCTGTCAAAATCATGACTGAAAGGAACTATGGATGCACCTAAACAGTTACTTCAGAAGTCCTCTTCTCTGTTATTAATTCTAGTTTAGAATTTGGTAAAGTTCTCACCTCTCCTCAGGTAAACGTTGATCAAAATTTGGCATTATCTGGTTGGCCACTTCATTATCAGTTGTGACCATTTTCACTATGACATGCACGGAGCAGACACCAAGATTCCCAGACATCAAGAAACCAAGTAAAAGGACTTTTGTATTAGATGTTTCAGCAATAATTATAGTGTCAGTATCATTACATCAGTTAGTGTAAGGTCTATATAGGAATTAAGTGGAGTATGTAGTTTACCTTTCAGAAAATACACATAGTGTCACCTAACACTGCTTTTACGGCTCTCTGTACTTAAAAGTCCCCTTTTTCTGGATTTGGATGTGTCATGTGAATGCCTTCGTTCTCATTCTTTCTTCCAAATCTTCAGTAATTGTGGCTTTTCACTCTACAGGAAACTTACTGCAGACTCATCTCCTTCTTTCAATACATACCCACATCCTCTGAGAACTGGGGAGGGATGCCTTAGCTAGAAACATGTCTTTGAAACCATGTGCCTCAAAATCCAGAAAGTCATGGGCAATGGATTACCTCTGAATCAAAGGATGTCGGATGATAGAGTGCTGTCCTGTCCCATATAAAACCCTTTATGAGAACAGAGAGGAAACAGGTTTATGACCAGCAGGCCCTCTTACCATATCCCTCAGGGAAAGGAGTTTATTCTTACAGCGTCCACTAAGAAATGCTTAAAAATCGACACCACCCCTTGGAAAGTGTCCCCTTCTTTGTAAATGGACAGAGTTAGGATTTAATCAATACTTTAATAATGCCATTCTTATTATATTAAAATTGACCACCTTGAATTTAACTGAGTGCTAAAAGCTTACTTAAAAAATGGTTTTTTTTTTACTAGATTTATAAAAAGATGTATAAGTTGAACATAAAAGATTAAGACAACATTTAAGTTTTGATATTTATAATTTTAAGAAATTAAATATTGATTTATTTAACATCCCCACACTGGTTTTTATTACTACTAGTAAGCTTTTAATGAGCTTCAACAGAGCATGACTTCTTCTTACACTTTCTGAGACTTTGCCTATCCGAATGGGAACTTAAGGGGGGAAAAAAAGTTAGTTAAGCTAAAAAGTGTATATGTATGAGGGGCTTCCCTGGTGGTTCAGTGGTAAAGAGTTCACCTGAAATGCACGAGACATGGGTTCGATCCCTGGGTCAAGAAGATCCACTGGAGAAGGAAATGGCAACCCGCTCCAGTATTCTCACCTGGGACATCCCATGGACAGAGGAGCCTAGTGGGCTATAGTCATAGGGTCACAAGAAAGTTGGACACAACTTAGCAAATAAACAACATATATGTATGAACAACATCCATTTTCTTGCTTTTTTCTACCTAATTATGTGAAATTTTCTGTTATTTGTTTAGGAAAAAATCTTTCATTACTTTTGAAAAAACATGTTATCTAGGCACTGCTGAAAATCTAGAAATGATCTATTCAGTTCTTTAAATGTTATAAAGCAAGAGATGGGATATTTTGAACTTTTATGTTCTGTGCTGTTAGAATAAATACTAAAGTCAAGTTTGCTTTCCCTGTAGAAATGGTGCTTAAATATTAAACTGTGTTGTTTTTGTCCAGTCACTCAGTCATGTCCAACTCTTTGCAACCCCATGGATTGCAGCATTGCAGGCTTGTCTGTCCTTCACCATCTGCCAGAGTTTGCTCAGACTCATGTCCATTGAGTCAGTGATGCCATCCAACCATCTTGTCCTCTATCATCCCCTTCTCCTCCTGCCTTCAATCTTTCCCAGCATCAGGGTCTTTTCTAATGTGTTGGCTCTTTGCATAAGGTGGCCAAAATATTGGAGATTCAGCTTCAAAATCAGTCCTTCCAATGAATATTCAGGGCTGATTTCCTTTAGGATTGACTGGTTTGATCTTGCAGTCCAAGGGACTCTCAGGAGTCTTTTCCAATACCACAGTTCAAAAGCATCAATTCTTTGGTGCTTAGCTTTCTTTATGGTCCAACTCCCACATCCATACATAACTACTGGAAAAACCATAGCTTTGGCTAGACAGACCTTTGTGGGCAAAGTAATGTCTCTGCTTTTTAATATGCTGTCTAGGTTTGTCATAACTTTTCTTCCAAGGAACAAGTGTCTTTTAATTTCATGGCTGCAGTCACCATCTGCAGTAATTTTGGAGCCCAAGAAAATAAAGTCTCTCACTGTTTTCATTGTTTCCCCATCTATTTGCCATGAAGTGATGGAACCGGATGCCTTGATCTTAGTTTGCTGAATGTTAAGCTTTCAGCCAACTTTTTCACTCTCCACTTTCACTTTCATCAAGAGGCTCTTTAGTTCGTCTTCACTTTCTGCCATAAGGGTGGTGTTATCTGCATATCTGAGGTTATTGATATTTCTCCCAGCAATCTTGATTCCAGCTGTGCTTCATCCAGCCCAGCATTTCACATGATGTACTCTGCATATAAGTTAAATAAGCAGGGTGACAGTATACAGCTTGACATATTCCTTTCCCAATTTCGAACCAGTCTGTTGTTTCATGTCTGGTCTAACTATTGCTTCTTGACCTGCATACAGGTTTCTCAGGAAGCAGGTTAAGGTGGTCTGGTATTCCCATCTCTTGAAGAGTTTCCACAGTTGTTGTGATCCACACAGTCAAAGGCTTTAGCATAGTCAGTAAAGCAGAAGTAGATGTTTTTCTGGAATTCTCTTGTTTTTTATACGATCCAACAGATATTGGCAGTTTGATGTCTGGTTCCTCTGCCTTTTCAAAATCCAGCTTGAACATCTGGGAGTTCTCAGTTCATGTACTGTTGAAGCCTAGCTTGGATAATTTTGAGCATTATTTTCTAGCATGTGAAATGAGTACAATTGTGAGGTAATCTGAACATTCTTTGGCATTGCCCTTTTTTGGGATTGAAATGAAAACAGGCCTTTTCCAGTCCTGTGGCCACTGCTGAGTTTTCCAAATTTGTTGGCATATTGAGTGCAGCACTTTAACAGTGTCATCTTTTAGGATTTGAAATAGCTCAGCTGGAATTGCTTCACCTCCACTAGCTTTGTTCATCAAAATGCTTCCTAAGGCCCACTTTACTTTGCCTTCCAAGATATCTGGCTCTAGGTTAATGATCACAGTTCATGGTTATCTGGGTCATTACAATCTTTTTTTTTTGTATAGTTCTTCTATTTATTCTTGCCACTTTTTCTTAATATCATCTGCTTCTGTTAGGTCCATATTGTTTCTGTTCTTTATTGTGCCCATCTTTGCATGAAATGTTCCCTTGGTGTCTCTGATTTTCTTGAAGGGATCTCTAGTCTTTCCCATTCTGTTGTTTTCCTCTGTTTCTTTGCATTGTTCACTTAGGAAGGCTTTCTTATCTCTCCTTGCTATTCTTTGGAACTCTGCATTCAAATGGGAATATCTTTCCTTTTCTCCTTTGCCTTTCACTTCTCTTCTTTTCCCACCTATTTGTAAGGCCTCCTCAGGCAACCATTTGCCTTTTTGCGTTTCTTTTTCTTGGTGATGGTTTTGATCGTCGCCTCCTGTACAGTGTCATGAACCTCTGTCCATAGTTCTTCAGGTACTCTGTCTATCAGATCTAATCCCTTGAATCTTTGTGTCACTTCCACTGTATAATTGTAAGGGATTTGCATTATGTCATACCTGAATGGCCTAATGGTTTTCCCTACTTTCTTCAATTTAAGTGTGAATTTTACAATAAGTAGTTCATGTCTGAGCTTCAGTCAGCTTCCAGTCTTGTTTTTGCTGACTGTATAGAGCTTCTTCATCTTCGGCTGCAAAGAATATAATCAGTCTGATTTTGATATTGACAGTGTGGTGATGTCCATGTATAGAGTCGTCTCTTGTGTTATTGGAAGAGGATATTTGCTATGACCAGTACGTTCTCTTGGCAAAACTCTGTTAGCCTTTGCCCTGCTTCATTTTGTACTCCAAGGCCAAACTTGCCCGTTACTTTAGGTATCTCTTGGACAGAGAGGCCTGGCATGCTGTGGTTCATGGGTATGCAAAGAGTTGGATACGACTAAGCGACCGAACTGAACTGAACTGAACTGACTTCCTACTGTGCTTTCCAAATACTAAACTATAGTGGCCTTAAAGTTCAACAGGTAGATTAGAATCATTATTACTATTGTTTTTTTCAAGCATGACACATATTCATACACATATATTATGCAAAATACAAAAATTTGTATAAGTAAGTCTAAGATTTCAGTGTTCCCCCAAATTGCCTGAACATCAGAATCACTGAGAGAATTTTTTTTATAATTATAGCATGCCCAGATCTGCTAAGTCAAAGCCTTCCAATTGTGGCTCAGAGAAGTGAGTTTTCAGATACACTGACAAGGTTTGGGAACTAGGCCAGATAAATAAACTAAATAGCTAGCTAGAGTTTTAGGAAATAAGCTTGTCGTATAACTAACTTGTCATTTCTTGTTTATTTTAGAATGTTTATGCTTTTTGTTCATTTTCATACTCATCACATTTTTTTTTCTTATATCAGCTACCTTTTATTTACATCAAAGTTTTATTTTTACATCAAAGTTTATTATTTTTTATTTTTTTATTTTTACATCAAAGTTTATTGTAGGATCTCTGGGTAAGAGGGAATTTTGGCAGTCATGGATCAAGCCTTCTCTGAATGGTAAAATTCCCTCCTCCGCCTGGCAACATCTTTCCTAAAAGGTCAGTCATCCTGCCTCTGACTGAGCAAGAGTTCCAGATTAAGGAATTGACTCCTTTGAAATAGTTCATTTCATTTTTCTGTGACTGTGTTGGAAAGTTTGGAAAGTTCTTCCTTATGCGAAGCCAAAGTCCATCCTCGTCTAACTTCCCCTCTTAGTTCTACT